CCACCCTTGGTGTATGTGGCTGGCACTGTAACACTGTGCTACGGGCGCCAAGTTGGAACATTTTTTAATCTTTAAGAATATCTTCTATGGTAATTGCTGTATTTCATAGGTTAGTTTTTACTTATTTTTCCATTTTTGCAAGTAATCTAGTTCTTCTAGGTTTTAAAATTTGTTTGCCTCTGCGTTTCAGTTGCAGATAGTCTCCTATCTTTGCAATAACATCCCTGTTCTCGTTCCTTATTTTGTCTATTTTTGTTCATTCTTTTTTCAAGGTTGTAAAGGATTAATTTATTTGTTCTGGTTTTTTTCTTTGGCTCCAGAACAAAACTTTATGTAAAAACACCAAGTGTTTACATAATGTAATTATACATTGAAGTTGGTAGGGATGTCACTACTCTCTTTGTTGAGAGAAAAAAATTAAAATATGGAATGTTTCATAAATTGGTTTGTTATCCTTGAGCAGGGGTGGTGATAATCTTTTATGTATTGTTCTAATTTTAGTGTATGTGCTACCAAAGTGAATACTTTTTGTTTTCTATTAATTTCAGCCTTTATTAATCTCTTCTAAACAGTAACTTTGTTTCTTTTTCTAATTTCTTAAAAATATTTCCTTTGCAGGCTTTTGAGCCACAAATATTCATTGGGGATAGCTTTCTCTGTGTCCCAGAGGTTTTGATGTGAAATAGTCTTTTTCACATCTTACTTTAAGACCATTTGGAATTTTCTTTTTAATTTCTTCTTTGATTCAAAAGTTATCCAGAATTGTTTTCTTAATTATCTGATAAAATAACCTATAACATCTATTTTCATAAAAATTTTAAAGTTTTCTTTAGTGATACACTTTTGCATATGTGGACACATAAAAAATTCTCTTTGACAGATGAAATGTTTTCTATAAATGTACTAAACCAAGTTTCCTGTTTATATTTTTCAATTTCCTGTCATCATTTTGTTTCCTTTGAATATATAATTGAAGTACATTTAAAATCAAGTTCTTGTCTTTTTAATCACTCTTGTTTTATGTATTTAGTTGTTACATTGTTTGATATATATTGGCTGTTCATCCCCTGATGTCTCTCAATATTCTGGTTAGTGCTTTTCATCCTAAATTTTCATTTGTCTGATGTTAACATTATCGCTCACGAGTATCTTTTTGTTTACCTGTCATCCCTGTTTTTACTCTTTTACATTCTACCTTCTTTATTATCACTTCAAGTGATTGCTGGTTTTTCTTCTTTTTTTAAAAATTAAATCTGATCATCTCTGCTTTTTTTTTTTCTTTTTGAGACACAGTCTCACTATGTTGCCATCAGTAGAGTGCTGTGGCATCATAACTCACAGCCACCTCAAACTCCTGGGCTCAAGCGAGTCTCCTGCCTCTGCCTCCCAAGTGGCTACAAGCGCCTGCCACAATGCCCAGCTATTTTTTGTTGTTATTGTTGTCATTGTTGTTTAGCAGGCCCTGGCCAAGTTCGAACCCACCAGCCCTGGTGCATGTGGCTGGTGCCCTAACTTTTAAGCTACGGGCACCAAGCTGATCATCTCTGCTTTTAATAGGAGAATTTAATTTCTTGTAGTGGGAATAATGAGATAGTCACTTCTCAACTACCAATTTCCAAGAACATTCTCTATATCCTCACTTATCCCAAAGTGAGATTTTTTTTTGAGTATTTTTACTCCTACTTCCTGTACTCCCTACTCTTATTTTTACTGAAATAATATAGGTATTGGAATTTTTCTTTCAATATACTGCTAATTCGAATGTCCTTATTTAGCACTTATTGTGCACGTCCAGATAGTCTCTTCCCATCCATTTTACTTTTATTTTTAGATCTTCCCCTCTCAGTTCATTACTTACCACTCCTCCCTCTTATTGTTCTTCACCTTGATGCCTCTGATCTGGTTCACCTGACGTTTACTGGTGTCTTTCTCAGATGGGGCCTGGGAGTTCTTGCATACACCTTCTTTTGTCCTGATAGGTGAACCATGTTTTGTCTGGGAATAAGACTCTTGGGTTTCCAGCCCTTTCATTTTAGTAGCATGGAGACGTGATTCCATGGTCTTCCAGCTCCATTGTCAGTGAGAATTCCAGTGCCAATTTGGTTTTCCTTTTATAGGTAACTTTCCTTTTATAGGTAACTTCTTTTTGTCCTAAAACTTTTAAGATTTCCCCTTCAGTTATGGAATTTTCTCTGTAAGTGTAGAGGTGTGTTATTTCTCATCAATTTAGCTGGAACTTATAGATCCCTTTCAACCCATATGATTAAGTTTCTTCAGCGTGAACATTTTATTCCAAATTTACTTAATGTTTAACTTCGTTCTGATCTTTATCTTTTCTTTCCAAGCTTTTATCATTTCCTCTTTAGGTGTTAATCTCTTCATACATCTGCTCTGTGATTTGAGAGTGACTTTCTTGTTTTTCATCTTTCTGACTATTTTTGGTCTCAGTAGAAACTATGTGTAACTATGTGTTTTTCAACCCATGTATTGCAATTTTTTTTTGCAATAGATGGGTTGCATCTAGTGAGATCATCATCATAGTGAGAGCATAGTCTCACTATGTCACCCTCCGTAGAGTGCTGTGGCCTCACAGCTCATAGCAACCTCAGACTCTTGGGCTTAAGTGAATCTCTTGCTTCCCAAGTAGCTGGGACTACAGGTGTCTGCCACAATGCCCAGCTATTTTCTTTTGCAGATGTCATTGTTGTTTTAATTGGCCCGGGCCTGGTTCAAACCTGCCAGCCTTGGTGTATGTGGCCGGTGCCCTACCCACTGAGCTATAGGCACTGCCCCATCTATTATAATTTTAAACTGGGAAATAATTTTTGCTCAATTTTTAGTTCCAAAAGATTGTGGTGGTTCCTTCCCTTGAATTTTCTGAAGTGCTTTCTGATTTTTTCCTGGTTCCTCTGGTAGCTCTGTGTCTCTGGGATGTTATTCTGGGCTCTTTAATAGGTTATTATTACTTTGATAGCACTGGGGCCCCAAAATGGTTAGTGGCATCCCTTAAGTGACAGTAGCACCAATTTGTAGAAAGTGGAGTAGAGTCTTCTCCCTGGTCCAGCAGTGCAGGTAGTTAGGCCCCATGAGGAAGCTTCTCCATCCCCGGTCTTCCTGGCTTCTTACCAGCCTTGGTTCTGGGGTGGATTTGGCTCCATCAGCAGCCCTTCTCAGCTGGGGTTCTGAGAGACAGTTAAACCCTAGTGCCTGGAGCCATCCACTATGTGTAACAAATTAACTTCTTTCCTGTGTATCTAGAATGGTTTTATGCACCTTCCTTGGTAGAACTGAGAAAACGGGCATTCACATCACTTTTGTGGTGATGGATCCTCCTGTGGATCCCTGCTGAGAGCGGGGTCCCCTCCCTCTCCGGCCTCAGCTCTTCCCAAGAGGCAGCACAATGGCTGATGGTAGGGGCCCACTGATGCACTGACTGGGGTGCATAGGGTCAGCGCTTAGTAAATACACTTTCCTTTAGGGCTGTGACTGTTGCTCCTGCTTCCCTTTCTTTCTTGGTTTTCCTGGCCAGTGCCTACTCCTTGCCTGCCTAGACTGGGCAAAGACAGTATTGTCTCCCTTCTTACTGCCTGGACCCCAGGGCCTCGTTCTAGATGGCCCCATGTGCTACTGGCTCAGGTATTGTAGGGCTGGCTGGCTGGGGACTGGGTGCCACATTTTTGTTGTCCTGACACCATCCTGTCCATTGTCATTGCTACTGCCTTTAAAGGCAGGGCTGGCTGGTGATGCCCTATTCATGGCCTGCGAGGGGCATTGGCCTGAGGCTGTTTCCTACTCTCCTCTTGTCTTTATGGACATATTTTGGATAATTGTGATTAGCCAGCCAGGGAAGCAGGAGCCGCTTATTTTACAGGGGGAGAGTCCTCTTATCTTCCACGTGCTCAACATACCTGGAGGCTTGTTTTGGACCTGTGTACATCTCCCCAGCTCAGGACCCAGACTTGGTCATGTGACTTGTCATAGGACAGCTTAGCTGGCAGAGGGTCCACACCTATGGACTTAAAAAAAATAGTGACAAGTTGGTCATTGTTGTGAAAGCTGACATGATGGCCATTTCTGGGCTTTGTGTGTGTGCATGGATGTCACTCCCGGGTGAGGGAAAAGCTACCCTAGGCGTTTTGCCAACATCCATTTGGTAACCTGGGACAGAAGCTTCCCCACTGGTTTTTTTTCAGAGGCATAAAATTTATTGTCAATAATGTTCTCCATTTTAACAACTTCTTTTATTTTCTATGTTTTAACTTAAAGAGACTTAGACTGACTTGGAGAAAGCCTGAATATACAGGCTTTAAATTTTCTACTCAGGAACCAATTCCATACACTTTTCTTGGAAGACTTGTGGGCTTCCTGGACCCTCACTGCCCTTCAGTAGACTACTCTCTAGCTTGCATTCTGGTGAACTGGCCCTTCCTTTTGGGGGACTTCGAGATTATCACCCCTTCTCTACCTTTGTTCTACTCTGAGCAGGCTCTATCCTTTGACTGGATCCTCTGGGACCCAGATAGTAGTATCAGGCAGACTCTCCCTTTCCTAACTACACTAACTGAAACTCTTGCTATCCCCTGAGAATATAGCTTCTCTTTTCCTTCTAAGAATGTAGTTTTATAAGTTAAAAGACTTGAGCATTACAGAACATATCACTAGACCATACCCCCCAGCTCTTCTTGTCATTGGTTAACATTCCTAGTCACTCCTTGTCACTAAAGATGTTGACACACAGCTCACTGTCATCTTCTCTACCATTCACTTGGTCACAAAGTTTAATGCCTTCAAATCCAGATGGATGATTCCTCCAAAGCCCTGTTTTCACAGTTATTTGTTGGTTTCAATGATCTTATCCTCCTCAGGATAAGATCTCAGGAACCATAACTTATACCTTGTCAATATAATTTCTGAAATTTTAATCTTATCCATACATATTCTGGCTTTTCTGATTGGGGAGGGAAAAAGCTGTATCATCTCTGCTTCCATTGGTAAACACTGACCTTAAGAATGTTTGTGGTGCCTTGTACCCACCATTCCTTAACTCATTTCTACCAAGTTTCTGTCTTCATCACATCTTGAATTGTAACTCATAGATCATTTTGGTAATTCCTCCCTTTACTTGACATTTCAGGAAGATTCCACTTGGTTAACTATTTCCTTCTAGAAATACCTTCTTCACTTGGCCTCCCACCTCTTGGCTTTTTCTCTTTCTCTTGACTTCCCAGGCCTTCATCCTTGACCTCTTTCTCTCTTTCTACATTCTTTCACTGGATGTGCTTATCCAATTCCCTCTATACTGTGATGACTCTAGAATTTATTCAGCTATTGATGGTCTCATGATAACATATATGGACTCTTTAGTTTTCCCACCCCTTTCCAATATATTTGTTCTCCAGTCATCATCATCATCTTTGAGTTCTCCCTTTACTTTCTTGTTCTAATTAAAAACTCCTGTCCCTGAGCCTTAATTAGAGGCTGTTTTTATTTTCTTAGACATTACAGATTCTGGGCCTTTAGTAGCCTCTAGCTACCCCTCCTTGTTCCTGTCACCTGTCAGCTTCCTGGCTGCTTCCCTTCATTTACCAAAGGCTTTAGCATTTAACACTGTCCTCAACTTGGAGCTTCCTAACCCATCAGTAATGATACCATTTTGACATTCTCTCTAGTATATTGAACACTATTTCTCTCTTTACAAAATCACCTCTTGGCTACACATTCTCCTGTAGCTACCCTATTTGCTCTGTTTACAGCAAAACATCCTTAAAGTTTGGACTGTAGCCATTCTTGCTCCTTCTTTAACTTCTCCCATTGTGTTTCATATTCTTACTCTGAAGTGGTATGGAACAGGAAGTTGAACAGCTAAATCAGAAATCTTGTAAATTCAGAACAGAGTTTTCCATAGTGTCAATGTTCTGAGGATCAAGATTATGGCAGGGAAGAGATCCTAGTAAGCAAGCCCTAGAACTAGGGGTAAATCAGAGACAGACCAATACTTACAGAAGCTTCAGTTCAGCTTTGAGTCAGCTTAGTCCCTGATTAAATTAAAATGATTAGTTCTCTACTCTTTCTGTCTACTGGAAGAAAAGGTAAACCCTCTGTGGTGGATAATAGCTTTCTAAAGTCTGTATAATTTTTTTATATAGGATCTTTGGAATTCCAAGAGACAGATGCTATGACTGAAAACAATATTAAAAAGACAATAGTAACAGACCCAAAGCTGATCCATAAAGAGATAATTAAATAAAGAAGGGAATTAAGTAGAAACTTT